ACTGCTCTCTCTCTCTCTCTCTCTCTGCTTCTCTGAGATCGGGATCAGGCTCGACGGGAGGAGGCGTCGGCGAGCTGGACGTCGTGGAAGTGAAAGAGTAGGAGCGGAGGCTTCGGTTTGGAGAAGGAAGAAGGGTCGTGAGAGGGGGAGGAGATCACGTCGGATGTGGGGAGAAGAGTTGTGGACTTGCGAATGGGAGAGAGCCGAGAGCCTTCGCGTTGGTGCGGTATTTAATGACGCGAGCAGTCATTCGATCGAGGCAACGTCGCGAGATTTCGGCAGATTTCAAGGAGAAATGACGCAGACGGCGCCGATCAACAGGATTTACGGAGGATTTCGGGCAGATTTTGGGGACTCAACGATTTATAGGTATGCACGTTGGATTTTTTTTTTTTTTTCTCTTTTTTGCTCTTTTGGATTTGATCCAGAGGTCAACAGCAAGTCTTCACATGCTAGCCCTACATCAAATATAGTTCCAGTCCACCTAATACATACCTTAAAATAAAATAGCTAAACCCGGTCTATCATACTAAAAGAACAAAATAAAGTAAAGAACATTACATATTTGTAGACCACTTATTTATGTTACCAAGCTTGACTATTTTGGAGTTCCTTCTTCTCGTTGAGTAGACTGATGATTGTTGGTTGGTCTTTCATGTTGGTAAGCCCATTCTTCACAATTTTCTTGAACCATTTTAGAATCCAATGAAATATATTGATGTTTAACAAATGGGCATTATAATACTGATATAGGACATGTCATGTAGAATCTTCATGCAGGTCTCAGCCAGAACAGTTGAAAATTGAGAATTCATAAAGCTACCCTAAATGGCTAATGATGATGATTACGAGCTAGCTGTTGAATTCAATGTAAGATGGAAAAAAGCAAAAAATGTTTCCAAGGCCATCAAATTATCTTTTACAAAACACTTTACCATAAATCATATCGGATCTTGCATCTATCATCTAAATAAGCAACGAAGATCAGCTTTTTTTTTTTTACAATAAGCATTAAGATCAATATTTTTGCTTTAAACACTGTTGTACTAAAAAATATGTTTATTCTGGGTAACTTGACCGACATACAGAGCATTTCAAACCCTATAATTACTATTGCAAACAACTAGATATCAAACATTTAGCTAAACACTCGATCAAGCATCCATATACTTTAATATGGTACCTTTAATAAAGAAAACCACTTATTGACATTGAAAGACCCAAATATCACCTAAAATGATAGAAGCGTGGATATATTTAGAGGAAAAATAGTATGAATCTATATAGAAAAATGCCTTTAAGCATCTGTAAAAAAAGGGAAGATAAAGCATACCTCTTTGCCAAGCTGTACCATTCTGTCAGCAAGACGACGAACTTCCTTTGCCTTGCATGAAGAAGATTTGAAGTAAAAGTCCAAACATGAACAAGTGTAAGAAAAAAAAACTTTCTTTCCTTACAATATTACTCGTTAAACCAAACAATAAATCAATGCCCTAGAAAACGGATGACCATTATAAGTGACAAAATCCCAACCCAACTCAATGCCAAAAATAGAAAAATGAAATAAAATAAAATGCTACCTTGGCCACTGTTGTCTCAATCCGTTCATGCCTAACTAGTTGTGACACCATAGTTCTGTAGGAAGAACAGGTCAAATCAATAAGAAATCACAAGGAGGCAAGGAGCTGGATAAAATGGGGAGGAAAAGTCTGTTCACAGACAGAGCAGACCTGAGCATTGACATGCGATGGGCCGCCGGACGGCCAAGCTTCCTAAACTTGGTCATGCCCTGTAGAAAAAGAGGGTTTAGAGACTAAAAAGTCCAACCTTCTAGGATTAGCTCAATTTGGATCTGCTTTGGAATGAACCAGTCCTGCACAAACACAGACCATATGAGTTTGAAGCTAGGTTTCCATCAATTAAGCATGGTTGACTTAAGGGTGAGGTTGGGGTTGTTGATGCTACCTGTAAAATCAACCATGAAAATATTGTACATAGAGTTATGTTTTGAAGCAGTTGCTTTTGAAATTGTTTCTATTGTTTCAAAAACCTTGGTGTTTGCGTGTTGTTTATAAATTAGACATCTATATAATATTTACATGACTGCTTTTGATGCAACATAAAAACAAACTTTGTTCTAGGAATGCAAATAAAACACACTTACTTTTTCATTTACATAAACCTTAAAAAACACATACAAACACAATAATAAAGCAATACTAACACAACTTACTACTTATAATAGAATAAGACACGACACAACTTAAAACTTATAATAGTTTTAGAGAAGAAATATACATGTGGAATGAAAACCATGAAGAGAAGAATAGATAGAAGTCCAAGGCAAAATATAAGAATGATAGCGAGAAGAAAATAGCTCGCAAGCTAGAAAAAACTCGCAGGTTTTGAATGATCACATTCCAAAAATTCTTCAAAGTCCCTCACTCTTCACAAAGGAAATCAGCCCCAATTTATAGGAGAAATAAGAGTGAATAGCATTTAATAGATCACATAAATGTGATCCCCAAAATAGCCGCTAAAAACCACAAAAACATCCCACATTTAAAGCCAACTGCATAGGAATCAACAAAGAGGAAACCCAGCAACCACAATAAGGAAAACGAGCAGCCAACAACATGAAAACAACAGGACAATAGCATGGGGAAAACAACCAGCATAGAAAAAACCAGCAGCACTTAGGGAAGACCAAACAATAGTTAGGGAAGACCAAATAGTACTTAGGGAAGATCAAACAACACTTAGGGAAACCAAACAACAGCAGGTACACGAAAAGACAACAAAGAGAGGTAGCTGGGAAACCGAGGGGCCAACAGTGAAAACAAAGGGTCAAAAGAAAAAAAATGAAAAGTCACTGGAGAAAGAAAGCTGGAAACACAAGTAGAAAATAAAAAAAACATAAAATGACAACTCTTGACTGCATTTACTCTCCCGTGGTGGAAGAATCTCATCTCCTGATGAGAGAGTTTCAGTAACGCGCTAGTAGATATCAGGATGAAGAATCTGCAACTTTTTAGCTTCAACTCAAGAAGAATCAAACAAAGGATGTCCCCTTCATTTAACCCAGAATCATCGTTGCACACCTTGTCTTGTCTGATAGTATGAATGTCCATAACATCTTCAACAAGATCATCAATTAGTTCATCTTCATTTGTAATAAGATCAACAACTTTGTGCAAAATAATATTTCAAAATTTCTCCAGAATCTTCACCTTTTTTGCATAAAAATACTCCCTCTCAGCATCCTTCAATAGAATGTCGTATTTCCTTCTTATCTTATCTTTTTCTTGTACAAACTCTGACTAAAGTAACAGTTTTTTATTTTTATACTTCTCATTACATAAATACTGTTGTCTTTGTAAACTGAGTATTTCATTCTGAATTGGATATATACAAATTGCTTGAGGCAGAACCCATTCTATTGATGAAAAGTTATTCTTTGGAATCAGCTAAATAGATGGCTGACTTTTTAAAATTGCGAGCTCAAATACATCTTGAATTGGAACTTCAACTTGTTGATTGTTTTTATTGTACTTTTTTTTAAGAAAAAGGAAGACTCACCCGACAAGCTAAAGCTCTGATACTAAATTAATGCAACCTAGCTCTCTGATACCAAATTGATGCCGCCCAAAAATAGACTTTGCTCTAGGAATGCAAATAAAAACACACTTCTTTTTCATTCACATAAACCTTAAATAACACAAACAAACACAACAATAAAGCAGCACAAACACCACTCACTACTTATAATAGAACAAGAAATGATAACTTAAAACTTACAATAGTTTTAGAGAAGAAAGATACAGGTGTAATGGAAACCGTTGAGATAAAAATAGATAGAAGTCCAAGATGAAATATTAGAAGGATATGGAGAAGAAGATAGCTCACAAGCTAGGAAAAACCAGCAGGTTTTGAATGATCACATTCTAAAAATTCTTCAAAGTCCCTAACTCTTCACAAAGGAAATCAACCACAATTTATAGTAGAAATAAGAGGGAATAATATTTAATAGATCACATAAATGTGCCACCAAAACAACAACTAAAAACCCCCAAAACAACCCACATTTAAAGTCTCCTGCATAGAAATCAGCAAAAAGGAAACCGAGCCACCACAATAGAGAAAACGAGCAGCCAACAACAGGAAAATAGCAGTACAATAACATGGGGGAAAACAACCAGCATAGGGAAAGACAACAACACTTAGGAAAGACAAAACAATACTTAGGAGGACCAAACAACACTTAGGAAAAACCAAACAACATTTAGGGAAGACCAAACAACACTTATGGAAGACCAAAAAACATGATGCGGACATCGGCCAGAAGATCTGGCGCATCTATCACAGGAGGCGTCGTAAATCGACGGCTCTAATTTAAGTTGTCATTTATGAATTATTTTCTGCATTTTAGTTTCTATTTTATGTTATTTCTTGTTTTACCCCCAGGTTAATTTATTTGAGTGTTGTAGCCCAAGGGGCAATTTTGTAATTTTTATTTTCTCATGTTGTGGCCTATATATAGGGCCTTTAGCTATTGTAATAGGATGGTTAATTTGATATGAAAATTTTGTGTTTTTCACACTTGTGTTCTTCTTGTGAGAGAGCGTTAGTGAGTGGAATCAAAGTCTTCACCAGCCGCAGGATGGGTCCGGGCTCGTGATTTGATATCCCTTGGAGAGGGAAATTGTATCACCCACCAACCTTGGAGACGGCCGGGTTCGTGGTTTTATTCTTTTTCGTTATCTTTTTATTTTCTCCTTGTCGACATCCCCATCCTCCACCCAAGCCACCGGCCACCTCTTCACAATCCCGCCGGCCACCTCTTCACAACCCGCCGACCACCTCCCTTCATCATCCCATTGAAGTTTCCTAATTTAGGCTTGAATGAATTTGAAAATAGTTTGAAATTCAAACTCAATTGATTTGAAATTCAAATAAACCTTCCTAAATTCCCTATCCTATTTTAGGAAACTTTTTGAATTCATGCCTAATTAAATTTTAATTAAGAAAGGATTGAAGCAAATCTTTCCAATCTCATGCATTTAAATTAGGAAGCTTTTATTTGCTCTCACCAAATCCCTCTTTGACCATGCATGCCGCCAGCCCCTAGGTGGGTAAATTAGGAGTTATTTCCTAATTACTTAATAACCTCTCTTTCCCTCATTAACTCCCCAAATTAAGCCCCTTTCAATTCAAATTTCATGACATTTGAATTTTGAATTCTTTCCAAATGACTTGTTCTTAAATTAGGAAACGTTCCTAATCTTTTAAATATGAAATCAGTTTTCAGATTTAATCAAATAGTTAATTGATTGGTTGGGCCCACCTCTAATTTAAATTCAATTAAATTCTATCCTTCCATCCCCCTTTGGATCGGCCCCTCTCCCTCCCCCTTTCCTTTTATTTCTTACCTTAATTAAGAAATCAATTAGTTAAGATTTAATCTCTTATTCTCCCCCTTCCTGGCCCGTAACTTTGCTTTCCAAACCTGTTCCTAAGTAAATTCCTTGGCTGTTTGAGATTCCAGCAAAGGAATTTTATCCCCTGCTGGCCGAACTCCTCCCCAAGGCTTAGGATATAAATTCTTTTTCCTCCCACCACCTCATACGGGCTGGCCCCTTGCTGAATTTTTTTTTTCTAAAATCCCGATTTCATTGCTTCTCTCAATTAGGCTCTCAAACAACTGAAATCTGAAACTTTTCAGATTTTCTTTGAGGGTGGGCTCTCATCTTTTTCACAATCTTAAGAGAATATTTCAGATTTTGGAGAGAAGATCCTCTCCGTAGCAAAGCCGCATTTCTATCCTGCATCACAACACTTATGGAAGACCAAACAGTAGCAAGTATACGAGAAAACATCAAAGAAATAAGTGGACAACAGGGAAACTGAAAGATAGCTGGGAAACCGAGGGGCTGATAGGGAAAACGAAGGATCAACAAAAAAATCTGAATAGTCATTGAAGAAAGATAGCTAAAAACACAAGTAGAAAATAAAGAAAATATAAAATGGCAACTCTTGACTGCATCGACTTTTAATTAAATGTATGAAATTCCATGTTCAAATTTGAATGTCATGAAAGTCCATAAATTTATTTAAACATCCTTACTTATAAACATTGCACGATGCCCACAAAAAAAAAATTACTCACTTGTTTTTCTTTTATAATGCATTTCACGAACTTTAACAATAATAATACCCAATCCTAAGCATATTATAGATGCAAGAAAAAGTAGTTTCCAATCCACTTTTGATACACTTTTATTAGAATAATAATTTCCAAATTTCTCAACTAGGCGGTTGGAGCAACTCATCCCTTTGTTTTCTAATTCCAGAACATGTTTGATGTATTTTAGTGAAAGACTGAAAATTCAAAAGAGGAGAACAATTCCATCATATGCATATCGAAAATCATTTTTAAAAACCTTTAAATCCTTGAAACTTTTTCCTAACTTCCATTCTAATCATCTTATAATTTAATAACATCGTATAATTGAATAAGAAAGGTCCAGAATCGCAAGAAAACAATAATATCTAATATATTATAAACTTCATGCTTATTTGACATTTCTAAAAAGAAAATTGGTTGATCTCAAATCTTAAACCTGGTAAGCTTCCTTATAAATCTACAAAAACTGAACTGATGTGAATTCTCTAACTGTGCAATAGCAACCATGATGGTTAATTTACTGCATTATCCTCCCTTAAAATGGTATGATGCATAAAATCAGATTAGAAATTGATAAAGCTGGTGCCTCATTGATAGAAATATGAGGAATAAGTTTGTGGTTATTGAATTGAAGATGGGCTACAGTAAAATAAGGTTTGCAGTTCTCTGTATTTCTCAAAGCAATCACTCAAAACTCCTATTAAATTCAAAGCGACGAAAAAACAGAACATAACAATCAAACAGTTAAACTAAAGGAAAGAGAAATGAGAAGAAACTCAGAGACGGCCTGCTTAAGCTGAAAATGAATCCAGAGATAAGAAATGGTTGCTCCCAAAGATTTCCAAAAAAAAAAAAAAAAAGAATTTTTAAGCCTAATTTCAAGATAGAAAATACTATGGTTTGTCTTGAGAAGTTTTAGGAGGATTTACCTAGCAGATAGTCGAATTTTCGCTCAGCTCCTTGATTATCCTTGTCGCATAGAGAAGCAGAACAGAAGCGCAGGAAAACCTGTCGCGGGCGAACAATGGTTAGGGCTTTAAAGGTAAAATGGTAAATAAGCTCATTTAAGTAAAATGGGAAACTTAAAAATATCAAATAAATTTGAGAATAAATAATATCTACAATGAGCTATTTGGTTGAATATTAAAAAAATATAAATTACATGCAAGAATTATTTTGTTTGATATAAATTAATGCATTAAAATATACTTTTGATCATTTGTATGCTTAGAACTTCAAATGAATTAATGTCTTATAAGTTGCTCATGATAACTTAGGCTTCATTTGGAATGAATTTCTTACTATTTTGTAAAGCAGTTTTTTAGTATAAAAATTTTATGTTTTATGTTAGAAAATTGCTTTGAGAATTAATAAGAAAGTCGTCCCAAATAATGCTTTAATAAGAGCTCATTTATTAATTAAATAATCATATATATTGAATATTTTTATAAATATTCAATTGATATTGAAAAATTTTAACTTTATCGACTTTTGATTAGCTTATAACCATTTAAAGAAAAAAAAAATAAAATTACATGATTATATGAGAACCTTATTAATTATATTAAAATGCTTATGTTCATGAATACATGATATTTGTTTGTGCTATTTAAAATTGCTTATTTGTTTAATATTTAATTAAACTAGAATCTTATTCTTAGGCCAATGTACTAGTTATTAAAAGACACACTAATACTTATTTAGTTTAATTAACAAGTCATTAAATAATATTGCTCATTAATCAGGTCAATAAGGCTCATTTGATTAGCTAACGAGCCAAACTAAAATAATCATAATTTTAAATAGGTCAGTATATGCCTTTGACAAATGTACTCAAGCTCAAGCAAGTTCATGCTTTGCTCACTTTATAGTATTAATAAAGTTAATAAGTACTTATGACTAGTTTGAAATAAAGTTTAAATCTCTAATTGATCATGAAAGTTCGTAAAGGTTGTTAAACCTTTAAGAACTAGCCAGAAGCTAACCAAAAAGGGATGAATTGGATATTAAAAAAAAATTCTTTAGGAAAAAAAATCATTTAAAAAAAAACTCTTTACACCCACACTCGATAATCGATATAGCGGATGTGGAAGTAAGCAAATTTTATAACAACGAAATAAACTATATTTTTTAACCACACATATAATTGTAGAAAAATAAAATGCGAAAAATAATCAGAATGAACACACCATAATTTATAATGGTTCGGTCAACTTGACCTACACCAACTCCTTGGAGACTCCCTCTTCAAGTATTACACTAAATAATAATTAGTCTCATTTTGCTCTCACAACAAGGCATGCATGGAAGCCTGTATAGACGATATTTCATCAATTCGGTGCGACAGAGAACCATGACTCTTTTACAAGCAGAGAACCTCAACTATATTTTCACCCTTCAAGTGATGGTTAGAGAATCACAACTCTATTTTCACCATCCAGGTGATGGTCAGAGAACCACGATCTTTACTGAAGAACTTCTTCTTCTAAGTCATAGAGAATCCAGGCAGACACTTGTAGATACTAGGCAAGATTCTTGCTTAGAGCAACATTGTGAATTTTCTCACAACTTGTCCCTCTCTTCTCTCACAAAACTCTCTCTCCTGAAGTCTAAGTAGTAAAATATCTCTCATAAAAAATATGAGAGGCTTAAATAGTGAGCTTCAAGAAACCCTAATTTTTAAGAGATCCATCTTATATTTGTATCGTACGATACAAGCATCGTACAATACGGTCAGTACAAAACTATATTCGTCCAGTACAAGAGAACAGTCATTCAGATGAACTATTCAAAACTCATAACACTTCTTACCATATGATCATAAGATTTTTTGATACGAATTGTAGAAATTCCATATGTTCGTTTGGGATAACTTCTAGGATGACCAATTTTGTACACTGTCGATCATCCATCACTGTGGATATCATACAACATGATTAGTATAAAAATTATGGCTTTCATTTGGTACGATCTCTAGGACGACCAATTTCATACTATGTCGATCGTTTAGAACTTTGGGTATTGTATCATACGATTAGTACATAACTCATTACTTTCACTTGGTATAACCTTTGGGACAACCAAAGTCATACTCTATCGATCATATTATACGAACAATATTGTACAGTACGATTGGCTGATAATAATGTCATGATTTGATTGCCTTATTTTTTGGGTCAAATTAAGTAAGATATTAATTAGGGTGTACATTATGAACCAAATCGTACCGTACAATCAGAATAAAGTTAGTATATTTTTTTACCTCTGGTAACTAGGGTTTTGATAGAATAAAACAGATCATATAGTTGAATCAAAGTCATATAGTACAAACCAAATTGTATAGTACGAACCAAAGAAGTATAATACAATTTGTTGAAAAAAAATCTATCAAAACATTTTTCTCTCCCCCTGTGTGTGTAAGGTTACCCATCAATGATATCCACCAAATTATATGATGTGACTCAAGAAAGAAAAAATACATAAAAATTTGAAAATACATACTATAACCCTAGTCTACCCAGTCTTGAGCTGATCAAAATTGCAAGTGAACGATGGATTATTTTTCTGAAATGTTAGTACACACAAAACTAAACAGAATATCATAGAATCAGAAAAAATATAGCAACATACATAATAATGTTTGTTATAATCAAAATCAAAATCCTTAGATCAGATTTGCAATAGATCACATTGTGTGATTTGGTTTGTGTAGTCCAATCAATTAAATTCATTATATGATCTGAAGTTTATAATATATAATATTCATTATATGATATGATTTTTATACATATTTAATTGAATCAAAATTTATCTTAATTTATATCATTAATTTAACTTAAACATACATCATATTAATGTTTGATCACCATCATACAACATGATATTTAGATAAATCATTCAATGCTTGATTAATTAAATCTATTTAGTTTCTTTATATGGCTTATCTTACTATATGATATGTATCTTATAATATCTATAGATCAATTAAAATGATTGTACTTTATCAATCAAAATTTTCAAATTAGGTCGAAGTTGAGATTGAACCAAATCGGATTGTATGATAAGTTTATCTTTTTTCCTTGATCAAATTAATTTTTCAATTTTAATAGTTAGAACGTGCTAATCTTCTTAACTTCATCAACATCTTAAAGAAAATAAAATTTTTAGTCGAAATAAATTAAAAAAATATATTTGATGCACTCAGGTTAATCGAGCCTCTTGCTTTATTTGAGTCATAAATGCAATTCAATGTTCGTGATATTTTATTAACAGTTATAAACTTATTCTATAGTAACTTAGAGCACACTTAGATAGAATTCTTAGTACATACCAAAGTATGTTTATGACCATCAAAACCATACTTCCAAACCTAATTTCATAAGGTTAACAAGGACAAAGGTAGCATGAGTGATAGTGGTTGTAGGTAGTAATGGGAGTAAATGATGTCGAGTGGCCGGTGGAGATGGTAGGAAATAGACCCTGGTGGTAGATGGAAGTTATAAGCAGGGTATTATGGGATTTGAAAATTGTCTTATTTAAGTGATTTGTAAATGCAATGAAAACATATTTACATCGGTCCATGTCCATTTTAATTTTTTGGAGGTTTTAATTCATAAATCATAAGTTAAAAGTGTTATGGAAGAATTATTTTTGTTCTTTCAGTACAATTCATATTTCTTACTAATTAATGTGCTATGTAATTAAAACTTAAATTATCACAACCTATGGATATCTGAGTGAATGATCATGGATGTATAATAGATTGTTACATGGATGAAAATAGTTCATTGAAGAATTTTTAGGGGAGTTGAACATTTTATTTACGTAGCTTCTCAAATGTCTCTTTTTTCAATATGAGGAAAAGTTTAGATGTCAATAATCTAAACATAAAAATCAAGTATATCTAACACTATATTGGTTTTGGCATCACATAGTGCTAAGAATTTCTTGAGGAAGAGATGTTTCTTCTTGGATGAGAGGGAGAGGGAAGGAAGAGAGGGAGAGAGAGCTGAGAGCTCACATGAATTCTTTATTCCTCTTCAATTAGCTTTGGATACAAAAGATTCCTCACACTTACAACTAATGCAGTATCTATAAACTAGACATTGGTGTGTGTCTTGCAGAACAACTTAAAATAAATCTAGACAAAAAACTAACACTGAGAAATTGCAATCACATGTCACCTCTATTGCAACTTAGTTTTCATAAATATATTTTTATATTATGTTTGTTTTTGATGATTCCAAAATCTTATTGTGTTGATTACTGTTTCTCCTAACATATATTAGAAATATTATTTTTATTGTTTGTGTATACTAACATTTCAGGAAATCATACTTCAGACTTTTGAAGACTTCAAGACATATTAGATTATAGTTTATTATAATTGAAGTCTATACTTTTTATATTTTTCTTGAGTCTGAGAGAGTGTGATTGTAATTGGATAATCATGCACACAAACTAGGGGAGTGTAAAAACTTTTATTTTTTAAACTAATCGTACTGTATGATCGTCAATTGTACGAGATGATTTGACATGAGTGTTCCTCCAGAACGGAGTTAATCAAATCATACCTAAAATTTTTTCTAGGTATTGTTCATAGTGTACAAAGTTGTCTTCGTACATATGATGTCTAGAGTACGAAATGGCTACATACTAGTTCTTCCCAAACAAACTAAAAAATTTTTAAACTGATTGTATTGTATGATCATAGGTTCGTATAGACGATGTCCATAATATGAAATGGGTTCATACCAGTTCGTACATATGAATAGGTCAATTTTATAAACTATTCGTACTATACGATCTTGGGTTTGTACAGACGACATACAGAGTACAAAATGGACTCATCCAGTTTTGTACCAAACGAAGCATGATTTGGTTAAAACAGATTGTATTGTATGATATTGGATTCATACAGTACATCATCTAAAGCACAAAATCGGTTCATACAGAATCATACCATACGAATCTGTTCAATTTTAAACTGATCGTATTATACGATGTCAATTCGTACATACGTAAATCAAAGTATGAAATTGGTTAGTACAGGATCATCCAAGTAA